AAAGAGTGTCTGAAGATAGCAAAGTTGCATACAATCTGGTAGCACTGTATGTATTAACAGTCTCAGTTGGGTGAATGGCATCCCAATACACATGCAAGGCTCTGTTCAAGCATGGAGTTCCCAAAGGAATACATTGCCCAATATCATTCACTGGGCAGCACCCAACATTCACAACACTTAATCCTGAAAATTTATTTGAACAAAATTAGATAATATTGTAATAATATATTATAGTACTAGCTAGCTACTGCTACAAGATTCTTTAACACCGAATTAGCTAGCAGTTTTATTTCGAAAAACCTTGTGATTAATTAATTTCTTTTAGGGGAAAAGGGATAATTTCAAATTATGGTATTTCCCTTTTACCTACATATAAGAGATAAAAAAAAAATTACATGTAATGTTGTGTTTCTTTTTTTTTTTTTAAACCATGATTATTACGTGGTCAAATTAATCATCTGAAATCACCTTGTGATTAACTTCACCACATAATAATCATGGTTTTGGGGGGAAAAAAAAGGAGAAATATATATAGCACATGTAATTTCTTAATATCTTATGCGTAAAAGGGAACTAGGATATGAAAAGTTGACACCTTATCATTGGAGCCTCATAATGTAGCCGTCACCAAGCATATTAAGCATGTGATTACGTAAATGTTTTGAAATTTGAATGTTAGAGTTATTATTATTAATGTTATTATTATTATTACTATTTGGTAATTGAATATAAAGTAAGATTTATGTATCTATATGTAATTACAATGCGTTGACTGGAATCTTTTATGAAGTAAATTTTGTATTCGTTATAATATGAGCAATATTATGCGAGTAAAGAAAAATTAAAAAAAAAAGGTTGAGAACAGTGTATACCAAGAGATGTAATTAGATCATCCAACGTCCCCAATATTCCGAAAGGGTTCACATAAATAAATTTGGCGTCAGTGAAACTCTTATTCAGTTGATCAACAAGTGCTATAAGCTTCTTGTTAAAAAGTTGGATCGCATCATTGATTTTGTCAACGCACGCAAACCCATTTGTGCTGAATGAGGAAATTGCATATGGAGTGCACCCAATTGGTCCCAATCCTGTCAACACAACCTTCCTTGCACCATAATTGTATAGCCTCTACAAAATTAATCCCACAAAAAAAATAAAAAAATAAAAAAATTAAACATTCAAAAGAAAAGGGGAAGAAAATATTGCACTTAATCCTTTCA